CTATGAACAGTGCATTCCTCACTTTATTAGAATGCAACAAACCAAAAAAACTGTGGCTGAATACACTCTACTGAAAAAGCAGAAGGATTTGCGGCCGATGCTGTTTCTGACACAGTGATGTTGGCACACTATCACATCAAAGCTGTGAACATGAGTGATTAGGAGAATGAAAAAATTGGCAACGGGAGACCACTAGGAAAATGTAGATTCTGACTTTGTGAGCTTCATTTGAGGATTGCACAAATCCTCCCTTGAAACTTCTGTACTACATACAAATTTTTGGTGAACTGGGAGGTGCAGAGACCTTAATTTCCAGTTAAAATTTGGTCTTCTGCTAATATTCTGAATATTTATTATATGCATATGAAGTGACTCTTTATATACAGGTAGGAAAACACCTTCAGCAAAGTTATTTCAGCAAAATACCTCAGTCTGGCAGAACGTGAAGCAGTTTTACTGACAGTGCCACACCTCTCATCCCTTAATCAATAAAGAAATTCACCTCCCATCATGGGCTGCCCACATTTCCTAAATGTCTGACCAACAAACAATTATGTCATCTTTGATCAATAGAAAGCACTGTAGTGTAGGCCGTTAGGAATAAATTTGGCTCCCTCTGGTGGCTATAGCTTGTAACATCCGTGTGAAAGTTGCATAAGAAAATCCCCAAATTTATGTACCCTTATCAGGCCAAGTTCACACACAGAAGAGCCCTGCTAGATCAGATCAAGGGCCTTATTATTTTTTACAGAAGGCATTTAAAGTGCAGATATGTATCCTTACTCTTGGTTGTTTGCACGCTCTTTAGGTAACAGCATGACCTTCCAGCATTGCTTGTTTTTTTCAGAGCAGTTCCTCATTTTTTTTTTTTTGTACAAGATAAATCCGCTTTTAAATTACAACAGGGAAAATAGCACTCTATCTCCTGGTGCATTTCTATTATGCCATTATAGCACACCTCAATGTAGAGGTCATATAGCAGAAGGAAGTTTTTTGTGTAAAGCTCAATGCTGCAAGGAAACTGAAAGTAGATACCACAAGGAAGACACAATAAATGGCTGGTGTGAAAAGTCTTAAAGGTCTGCCTAGCCCAGCATCCTGCTCCCACAGCAGCCAGCCAGATTTCTATGCCAAGCCGAGAAAACAAGCGCCCTGGTGTTCCTCAGCAACTGGCACCCAGAGGCAAACTGCCCTTGCCACTGAAGGAAACATGGAGCCATTGTCATGCCTCTGCTGGAGGGATCCTCCTTCCCCTCTGAGGAACTAGAAATCCTGAGACACTGGATGCCATGGGGCCAAGCTTGCCAGGACACTTGGGGAGCCAGCCCTAAGGAAAGAGGGGCATAGGTTTGTCCCACACAGAAACCATGAGTGCTGCCTGAGAGGCAGAGGCGAAGTGACCACTCGAAGAGGCAGATCAGTTGGGTCCTTTAAGGAGAAGCACCCAAGTCCAAGAAGAGCTCTTGGAGAAGGAACTCCTCAGCAGCAGGGCTTGTAATGTCTTGCAACTGAGGCTGGGCTGGGCTGGGCTGGGCTTGGGAGGCTCTGGTAACATAAGCCTGCATTTCCAGTGTAGCCTTTGCTGAAAACCGTGCTGGTTTCTTCAGCTCTGCTATCTTCTGTCCTGACCTTGACTCATGTTTGGGCTTCTGTGTTATTGATTGTTGGACTTTTGATACTGCCTTTTGGCCTCTGATTCTATTGGTACCTGTATATTTGACTGGGGGTAATCTATTGACTTCTTTGGAAAATCTGTATTTGTCCAGTAAAACTGCCTGTCTTTTATCTGTTTATCTATTAGATTTGTTTGAAGGCCACCTATTATCACTGTGCTCTGTTTTGTTTCCTTGACTTCTCTATTGTAATCTACTGTGTTTGCATAGCAACAAATTTAACCTAGTTGGTGCAGGGCAACCATCAGGACTAGTAGCCATTGATGTTTTTATCCTCCATGAACTTCACTAATTGATTTTTTAGCCATCCTATATTGTGTGGGAGCAAGTTGCATGGTTTAATGATGACCCATGCCGGTGCTGGCCCCTAGCTTTTGAGAGCCGTTGGGCAAGACATCCTCCATGGCATCCCTCCCTCCATCCACCTTTCCACTCCCATTATTGCCGGCTGTTACTCCCCTCATCCTCTCTTACTGCTTTCACTTGCTGGTTTGCCAGGCAAAGAGCCATGGATCAAGGAGGCGCTGGCATCCACCGGGGCTGCTTCTCACCACCTCCATGGTCTGGGCCAGAAGGACAGCTAGGTTGCCATTGTGCTACTCCAGTGGGGGCGTGGGACCTCAGCAGGGGCCTGAACTTTGACACCAGCCCTGTGTTGTGTAAATAAGTACCTCCTTTTCCCATCCTAAAAAATCTCCCACAATTCAACCGCATTGGATGACCTCATTATGAAAGAAGCCATTTTCCTCCCGCTTTTGTAACATTCAAGGTCACCCACCTTCCACATTCTTCATACCATGAATAGTATTATAAACATCTCTCATGACCTTGTTACTTTTTCCAAAGCTAAAAAGCCACAGGCATTGTCACTGTTCCTCATGAGGAGTTACTCCAGCCACTTCATAGCTTCGGTCATCCCTCCTGAACCTTTTCCACCTCTACAATATTCTTTTTGAGATGATTCTCACCATAGGCATCACTCCTGCACCTATTTTTTTGCCCCGATATTCCCTCTGAAGAACGGTGTAAAATGGAGGTGACCATGTGTGACCTCTTCTACTGAGCTGTCAGACTCTAAAGCTTCAAGTCACATGGGCAGACATTCATTTAGCTGGGCGTTCTTAAAGAGAGTTCATGAGATTCGCTGAACTACAGTAGGAGCATCATTACAATTAGCTTCTGTACCAGAGGCTAATATTCTGTGTGGATGTTGCTCCCCCCCACCTCCCCGCCAATAATACCTTGATTTTATGTATTTCAAATGGCATGTCGACCATTGGCTTGTTTCTTCTTCCCAATAATTCCTGGAAAGATGCCAGCAGACATATCTTTTGCAGTTAGCAGCATAGACTTCACATGGACTGCTACTATTGTGGGTTTCTGGCCAACCAAGTTCCTTCTTTTGTGATGCAATTAGTGTTTATTTATTTAAAGTTTTTCTATGACGTCCATTACTAAAAAAAAAGTCTCTGGATGGCTTACAAGGAACAAAAAACAAAGAAACAAAAACTGTAACAGCAACAACACACAGCATGCTACATCTGACAATATTGATAAAACAAGGATAAAACCACTTAATTGTTAAAATACCAGGAGAATTAAAAGGTATTTGCCTGACACTGAAAAGAACAGAGTGATGGTACCAGGGAACCTCTCTGGGGAGCGTATTCCACAAATTCAGCAGAAAACACCAAAGATGGGTGTTTCATATCCATGCATGAAAAACTGTACACACTGCATGGAGATATTAAACTAAGTCCTGGATGGTACTGTCAAATCATTACACAAATTTATGATGCATAATGTACTTGGTGTGGAGTGTACAGTTCTGTTCACTCTACCTAAGAAAGGCTATTGTAGACTGCAGAACAGGACAAGGAGCGGGAACAAGTCCTCTGCGAGGAAAGATTAAAATATTTGGGACTGTTAGCTTAGCGAAAAGGTGAGCAAAGAGATGCTGGAAGTATACAAGACCATGCATGGTGTGGGGAAAATACACAGGGAGACATTTTTCTCCTGCTCTCGTAATATCAGAACCCTGCATCATCCCATGAAGCAGGTTAGTGGTGGTTTCAGGACAGTGACTGCAGTTCTCCATACAGCTCTTCCCCACCATGATGCCTGGGAGATGGTGAGTTTTGTAGTCCAATTCATCTGAGGGGAGCCGGTTGGGGAAAGCTATTTGAGAAAGACTACACTGCAGGTCTACCCCTGTATAGCTTCTGCAATGAAAAGCGTGCCGAAATAAAATTGGACCTTTTCTTGCTGGAGGATTTATCAACTCAATTATCTCACTGCAGGCTGCAATCTCATAAAAAGACAGTGCAGTTTACTCCGTATCTATGCAAAGTAGTCTTTCATTACCAATTGTTGAGGGAGGGGGCTCTCCTTCACAGAAAAGAGGCAACTATTGCTCAGTCAGTTCCAATCAGCATTATAGAAGCACTTGAGCCTAATTGCCCAAGCAATATTCCACCTCCCTGGTGAGTTCATAAACTGTGGCTGTAGCTGCTTCCAGACTCCCTCCCATGCCTGAGGTGTATTGCTACTCAAAAGCCATATTAGCATACTGCACTCCAGAGTGAATTACCCTGTGCTTAGTAAGTTTGACTCATCTCATTTTTAATTACTGCAAATAAACAATTGGGAGAGCACAGAATTAGCCACCATTTCCATGCAATCCTCTCACATGGCCATTGTGGCAAACAAGGAAGGGCAAAATTCACTGCAGATTTCTACATACACCTGACAGCACTTGTGTACACAAAATATTCATTGCATAAAATGTCATTTCATTTTCTTTATGAGGGAATGGTCCATGTCACAATAATGGGGGTCAACATTTTAAAGGTGGGAGCAGTCCTTTAGTTACCTCAGGCAGCTCTTGTTGGGAGTGCTGTACCTCAGAAGATTTAATGCTTGAGATTCCCATGAGGTAGAATTTCTGCGGACCACACATAGCTGCCTTTGTGTTTTATGCTAAGCCTCAAACTTTGATTTGATCAATAAATAAAGATGCCATTGATTAAAATGAGCTGCTATTAACTAAAACCAAATCAGTGGAGCCAAAAGTTAAAGGCATATGCTTATCTGTGAGGTGATTTTGAACCTTGTTATCTTATTGAGTTAGGTAATAGTAAACACATAAATGTTTATTATTTCCAAGTTTGCATACACCAGAGTAGGGATAAGCAACTGCTTTGGTGGTATGATTCACTCTGGATCGCTCTTGCTGGATTTCAGTAAGTCAGTATGAGTTAGTCTAGACCGAATCCATGAAAAAACAAGGGAAAACATGAATTTTAAGAAAAGCCAAACACATAAAGGTGTGCTCACTTATTTTATTTAGATTTTTATCTCCTCTTTCAAGACATGTTGGACGGAACTTAATACCTGAACATTCTTATTCCGTGTGGTGTCATGCTCCACATTAAGTATAATTAGTCAGGAAAGTTCCTGTTGGGGTGAGCAAGACGTGGTCCAGGGGCTACGAGTGACTTCCTAGGACTTTGCTACCACTAATGCTACCCCTACCATGCTGGAATTCGATGGTACAGCAGCAAAAAAGCAATCACCGATTTTCTGCCAAAATTAGATGCGGAACCAACACAGGGATTCACAAATACCAAATTTAGTTTCTTTTCAAACTAGGAGGCCCCTCTGAGCCTCAGAGTAGCCTGCCACTCTTTGCTTCCTGCTGCGGCCTTAGGAGTGCAGCCCTGGGGGAATCTGGGTGTTAGAAACTGGGCCCTGGGCTGCCTGAAGTTGTCCACCCCTAATTTATATATTCTCCAGCCTAGAGGGATTTTACTTAACATACAGATCAACATAAGAAGTGAAAGCAGGCTACCTGGAATCAGAAAATCAACCAGCCCATTTCTAGGAAATGCTTCTGTGCCGGACGAACAACATGATAATGTGACCAGAATAAAGTGGTAGAGTGGTGGGCACCATTTCAGACTAGCTTCTGGCTCTTAAGAAGATGATGGCTAATGCTAATGATAATTAAGCAGACACTATGGCAATTTAACAGCCACAATTGCCGGTCTGGCTACTGGAATCCCAACCAAGCAGACTTCCATCCTTAATATAAGCAAATTTATATATCACAATCACACCACATCACATATTTTACATACATATATACAACCCTTTGTGCAGCTTGCTGGGTAGACAACTCTGTGCTTGCATCAAAGATCTTCCACACATTTAATATTGTAGCAGCCACTTTCTGAGATTTCAGAATCCACAAACCAGGTGTTCATGGATTTTAGCATTTTAAAAAACAGATCAATATGGTGAAAGCTTTTTTATATTTGTTACTTTCACAGAGGTACTGAAATACACTCTGAACTTTAGATTGTTGAGCTCCTAATTCTATACATCCTAATGTCCAATTTTGTCAGTATTTCAGGCTGTGTCCACAAGATGGCACTGCATAACTATTACAGAAACTCCGAAGTTCTCAGGGAACTTGAGCAACTGTGGAAATCATACTATTATTCAGAAGGTAGTTTACCAAACGAAGAAGATGCCTAAACTTTTAGACTTAGCTATCCAGTCAAGATATCCACCCACAACTAGCTTTGTGTCAATTAGTAGAAGACCTACTTTACATCCTCTTCCCACACTAACTGTATCTAATAAAAGCATAAACATACAAAACCAGACAAAATAAGCAGTCATTTTTAAAACACCAACTAGTAAAGATTTTTAAAACTTGTCATATTAAACAGGTTCTAATTTACAAGTAAGGGGCACTTCGGATTAAAATTATGAAATTTTAATGATAGTCAATAAATTGGTCATCAATAAATGAGTAGCTTTCACAAAAACCTTGGAGAGGGTGATACTAGCTTTTTCCATATCAGAATAGGGAGCCAAAATAGATTCAATTAAGCAGAACATGTTTTTGACTTCACATACAAACCAAATTCATCCACAGAGAAATACATGTAGGCTGTTTCCAGATTAGGCCTTTATTTTGCAATTGCCCAGCCTCATTCATGAAATTTTACAGGGGTTCTGAACATCACTGTCCTCAAAGTAGAATCTTCCCCTTACTTCCTCCACTGTTTTTCCTTCTTCCCAGCTGAGGGGAAATTTTTAACAGGGGCACAATACCTTTTGAATGGTAGTACTAAAAGCTGTCCCTCTGGAAGCACACACTATGTTGACATGAAGGGCTTTTCTACGTAAGGTATTTATCATGCACTTATCATTCCCGACATAACTTGTTTACAAGTTTTTCAGATGATATAATGATTCTCCAATTTCACCTCTGTATCTAACTATCACTTTCATAAAGTTTTTAGATTAAGAAAAAATGTGGTATTTAATTGTAAAAGTAAAAAAGAATGATTTCTTCTTGTATGTTTGTGCTATTCCACTATGTCACAGTGCCACCTAGAAGGTATGTACTGGAAAAGAATTCACATACAGAATCATAGAACAGTAGACTTGGAAGGGGCTACAGGGCCATCAGTGCAGGACTCTCGGTTAAACCATCTCTCTCTGATAGCCACCATTTGGATCTCAATATTACAGAAGCAAAAAGAACAGCAGGTTTACAGCCTCATGTAGAAAAGCTCAGAGTTACAAGATACATTTTCCACACAGATAAAGTAAAATGAGATAATACACCAAGATGTCTGGTTGATGGGAAGAGAGAGTAGTCCTGTTGTAGAGAAAACTTCAAAAACATTTCCATTATAACCCATAGCACCAAAGCAGCTGTCCATCCCTTCTTCAGCACAAAAAACAACTGCAGGCAGTGATTCAACATGCAGTCTCCAAAAATCAATGGTACATGAAGCAAGAAACTATCAGCATACATGCATTTTAAAACAAAACTTTGGGCTCTTTGGCCTTCCATCCCATGACCCAATGAAGTTAATCCAAGGTCTTTTCATAGGAATTTTCATCCCCAACTCCATACATAGTGAGGAAAGCCATGTTGCTACTTGAGGAACATATCCAAAATACAGTACCTTTATTAGAACCAATCAAAATGTCACAAAAGAATGTGGAAACTTTCAGATCTCCAGACCTCTTCATCAGACTAGAGAATACATGAAGCAGGAGCAGGCGAGAGCAAAAAAAGTACAAATGTTGTAACTATGAGGTCTGCAGTATGGACTCATTTTCAAGAAGTTGATTGTAGACTGAATGACTTAATCATTGGTAAAGAAGGTTACTCAATATTCCTGATTTATGACCCGATTTTAATATCCTAGCCTTCTCTTTTCTAGCAGCAACCAAAATAAGAATGTCATTGGAGTTCCTTCCTATGAAGACTAAGCTGTAGGAGGTTTTTAGTTTAGAAAATGGTTTTCAGAACTGACGTGAGAAGCATTTACAAACTATACAAAGTCTGGAAAAAGGGAATAGAGAAATGTCTTTTCTCCCTTTCTCATAATATGAGAATTTGGGGCCCCCAAAGGTATTTGATGGGTTGTATATTTAGGAGACAAGAACACACTTAATCACATAGTGCATAATTAACATACAGGATTGTTCGCCAGAAGCTGTGGTGAGAATGCTACTAGCTTAAATAGGTTTAAGGGAAGATGGCTCTTGAAATTCAGTGGCAGTGGCAATCAACTGCTGAAAGCATACAATGGGAGAGTTATCTTGTCTTTATGCTGTTTCTGGGCTTTCCAAAAGCATCTGGTGGGTGACTGAAAAATAGGATCCTAGCCTTGATGGATGTCTGTCAAATCAATGGGGGTTTTATTGTGGTTTTATACATGCAATGCTAAACAGCAACAGAAATGCTAATTTGATCCTTGTCATCCCAGCTTTTTACTTGTAGGATTTTTTTTAGGATCTCAGCCACCCAGAATTCTCCAGCATAATAATGTTCTCCAGCATCTACTAAATTTTGACATTCCCATCATATTTTCTGGGCACCGTTTTCAAGTCTCTCCCTATTTTGAGCCAGGTTTTTTTAAAACCTGAACATATCTGAAGCTTTTTGTATTGGTATGAACTTGGCCATACTATAGACAGCCTGCAAAATGTCCACTGCAAGTCTTCAGCTGTTTGATTGCAGGACAATTATAAACCTTTCAACAGTAACAAATCACAAAACAAAACATTAACTCAGCTGAAAAACAAGAAGTAGGAGCATCATCAATAGCAGCATCTGTGTTGGATAGTCACATCAAACTCCCTTACCAGAGTCATCAAAATGACAGGAAAAGCCTCAGCAGGCAACAGCATTTCTTTTCCCTTGTTTTTTGCCATTTGATTTTAGAGATTTCAAGATGCAGTTGACATGACTTAATCCCCCCACATTAATGTGCATGATTCATATTTCCTGACGCAAGTAGCTATGTTAGTCATCTGTGGCCCTATAAGTGTGATGAGTAATGCTGAAAGCATATTGCTGCTGGATATGAAACACCCAAGTTCAAAGTCCTAATACACCAAAAGCTGTGGTCCTGCTCTTGAAAGCCAATTCGTTGAAGGCTAATGAAAACAGACGGAAGGCACCTACAGAAACAGAATCAAGCAGCATTCTAGAAGGGCCCTGACTCCCTTTTACTGAAAAAAAAAAATCAGGTTAAATATACAGAATATTTAGAGATCAAACAGCTTGTGAAAAGTTACCCAGCCAGAAATCCTCCTCTGTAAAACAAAAACAATGTTTTAAGAACTTACCTCACAGGATCAGTGGGAGATCAAAGATGAAAAAAGATATAGTACCTGGACCCAAACATTTCTATAAAAACATGGAACAGTTTTGCTGAACTCTTTACTCATACTTCTACTAATATTTAAGAATGTACTATGAGGTGAGCAACTGGCCTCTGACTGACCCCTGGGAGGAACTGTTCCCAGTAAATATAATGCTAGTGTGAAAACAGGCAACATTCTTCATTTTTAGCTATAAATAACTTTATCAACCATCCTGAGAAGCTAATAAAAGCTACCAACCAATTATGAAATTTTAGGTAAAAATTAAACACACTACCTGTATTCTTTACTCAATACCATCTCCTCAGCCAGCCACATGCATTATTTGACTGCAGCCTAATCATCATGCCCCTGAGTGTTATTTTGTCTGACTGGAAGGGTGAACCTGAAATAATAAGCCTTTTTGTCTAAGAAACATCTACAATTGACCGCAAGTGCCAGGGAAGAGTTACAGGCCAATTAACTCTACTCTGCATAGAAAACTCATCATGCTTTTCTGCTCTGAAGACAAACCATGTGATTTGAGATGAATATCAGTTCACAGACTCCCATGGGCTATATCTAGACAATCTGTGATTTCTGAACTTCAGCTTATCCTGTGTACAGTAGAAATAACAGAGTCGTACCTCACTGAAATATATATTGCATTTCATACATACATAAAGAGTGCTGGTCTTTTGGCCAGAAGAAGTCTTTCGAAGTAATCCAATTTTAAATTTCTCACTACCTGTTGAAGGGTAAACAGTAGCTAACTACAAACCTGTAATTTCTTGTGGCCTTCTGCTTCTAATACAGCCTTCCTCGACTTGATGCCCATCAGAAGTCTTGGACTGTATCTCCCAACATTCTGTGGTCCCTTGACCATGCTGAAGTTCACAACATCTGGAGGGCACCCAGAGAGAAAGACTGGCATAATATAAAAGTCTGTAGAAATAGGTCACTGTTTTTTAGTGAAAGAATGGACCTTAACAAAATACAATTGCACCACATATCTGTAGTTCATCCTTTGAGAAGAATGGGCCTCATATTCTTTTTTCCAGTCAAGGAAAGGTTCTATCTAGTAGATGATTCATTTGTAGCATCCTTGTAATGTTAGTACAGTTTGATTGCAGTGTTAAGCACAGCCCAAGATGCTGTTACAGGGAAACAAAACATTACTCCACTCACCCAACCGGAAATCCTGCCCTCCCTTCGTTTATTACAACCATGAAAACTAGCTTGGCATTAGCAGGTGCTTGCTCTGTTCATCAAATGTCCAGCATACTACAACACTTTTAAAAAAGCCACAGAGGCCACTGTTTTCAGTACGACTGCAGCATTTGCAGGGGCTTTACACTTTTCTTCCCAGCCTCAGTGCCATGCCCATCAGACACAGGAATTAGGTCTTCACTTGTCAATATGGGCTATGAAGACCAAAGGGGAGTTTCACACAACTGGGAGGCAATACAGTCAACATGCAGGAAAAAATGAAAGGAACGGAGTTCCTATCTTGTTCCATCAGGTAACAGAAAAGAAATAAATCAAGTTCTACAGATACAATTTACATTTTAAGTAGAAAATTTCTTTCCAACACCCAAGGCCCCAGAATATTCCATACAATTCTTCAGGCAACTACTGCCAAGTAGAAGTCAGTGCCAGAAGAAACTGCATGAAATATGTTATAGCTCAGATTGGCAGGAGACTACAAAGGAATTGCCTGTGTGATGTAGACTTCTTTTTTAAATAATATTAAAGGAAACTCAATGAACAGACAGCAAGAGCTTGTGGGAGCTGATTTAAGTTCTTTGTATTACAATTCTGGAAGCTGCTTCTGAAACATAAAGGCAGTAGATACGTCTTGTAAAATTATTTCAAAAATGCACCATTATTCTTTTAAATTAGCTGGGTCAGATGTTCAAACAAACACCAAACACTACAAAGTTTAACCAACATGGTTCTATTTAAAAACTAGTTTCAACCATGGCACTCAGTGACAGCAATACAATACTTTTTCACAAAGTGGTGTATATAAAAATATGCCATAAATCCATTTGTAAACTAGTATTCTAATACACGTATGTAATGTCAACATACTGTTTATATAACTCTTTCCTGAGAAACTTTGGGTAGTTTTCATTTTATTGTGTTAGATGCATCATCTTTGATCACTTTAAAATACTGGTACAAGTGGGATACTACCAAAATCACACATTTAAAGTGATTAATTTGAAATTGAACAGAGGAGCAGCTCTTATGCATGTTGCATTTTGAAAATAAGGAGCACACACTGCCTTAAACATGTGACTCTTTCAGGTTAAGAAAAAAAGACACCTGAAGTTTCAACTAAGATTCTAAAAAATGCAGCAAAATGTTTCAGGAATGTTAGAGGCTGTAATAGAAGACAAATGATACAAAGGAAAAGTCATAATTCTTGTTGACTAGACATTGCCTGCAGAAGTATCTGTACATGCTGTAGCCAGTTCACAGTTTCAATATTGACACTAGTCTGTCTTGGAAGAGCAAATGTCTTTTAAGGTTTCTAGCTCCTCTATTAGTTTCTTGTTTTGAACTTCTAACATCGCAACACGACTCTCCAGACATTTCACATATTCTTTCTTCCGCCGCCGACATTCTTTTGCAGCTTCCCTGAAAAAAGCAGAAGTAAAAAGCGCAAACAAATACACTTTTTGGCATGCTACTGGACTGGGTAGAGGCGGCAGTGAGGGGCAGGGGAGAGAAATGCTGTGACAGCGGTCAATATAATATGGTGCCTGCGATGTTCTCTGAATTTTGAAACCGCGCCCAAATCTATTAGAAAACACCTCAGCAAAACCAGGATCACAAGGGCCACACACATTGTCCCTTCCTCAATGGTCACATGGCAATCTGTAGAATTGCTTCATCTCATGCCTTGATTATCGTTCATAGTAAAAAAAAAGTCCATGGCCAACTGCCATTTACTCTGCTTTATGGCAATAAAGATCTTTGAGGGCCTTGAGTTCCTCAATGAGGGTCTTGTTTTGATTTTCAAGCACAGCCACACGATTTTCAAGACATTTGACATACTCCTTCTTCTTCCTGCGACACTCACGAGCAGCTTCCCTGGAACCAACACAAGGCAAGTGACTACAGTAGCAGCTACAGGACAATGAAAACCTGGATAAATAAGACAACCTTCAACACCAGGAACACTGAAATGAACTGAACAAATATCAAGTCAGTAAGTCATGTAACAGTCACACAACTAATTCAGGCCACAATGTGCAACAGACAACGGAGAACAACAGAGGAAGCACGATGATAGGTACAGCTTAGCATGGAAGTGCGAGACGCTTGCAATAGCACAGATGTCGCTTATCAGATGTTAACCAAGCAGCACTAGCTACCCCCCAAAATTGCACTGAAACCTCCGCACAGTACTGAGAGCACCCCCATTGTCTGTTCCATAACATCCCGTATCGACATGGTTCAACAGGTAGCTGAAGCATCGTAGACCATGCCTGGAAAATGATGTAAAGCAACCTATCAGCATAAGTATATACTATGTTCTCTCTTCAGATTGAAGTCTAGGTGCCAGTCTGAAAAGTTGCCAATAACACTCTAGCCTTTTGGGAAACAAAGCTTCACATTCAGTTACTGATTCTTTAAAACAGAGTATTGTTTATACTTGCACAATGTTTTAGACTTCACGTTTTATAGCTGGATGGCAAGTTTTAAAATAATAAGTAAAGAAGCAGCAGCCAGTGATCCCCTTCTCCACCTGCTGCTGCCCACACAGAAGCTGTCAGAAACAAGCGAGCTGTGAGCACAAGAAGAAGTGAACAGTAATGATTTGCCACCTCTTTAAATAAGCTACCCCATTTATGTTGTTGCTGTTCTTATGTTAGCTGCTCTGGGAATGCTGCCAGCTGAAGAGCAGAGCAAAAATGCTTAAAATATATAAACATTAGAATATATAATATTAGACTGTATAAAACATTTTAGCAGCCCTTTGTGTACAATAATCATGTACTCCATCAGCCCTCCTCCAATTGCATTTATGGGACCTTCAAGTGGGGAGGGAGCGGCTCACCCAGCTTCCTGGAGAATTCATGGCTCAGCTGTAACTCAGACCCTTCACCCTCTCATTCCATTAGCTATGGTGAAGTGACTGAAACCAGCTTGAAAGTACAGTCTTATTGGATTGCCATTCTATAGATGAAAGGCTCTCAGATCAGAGCCTTCTGTCTGTCCTAAGTCCTGCTGGCAGGAAACTAAGTAAGGCAGGAAGAATAGTTTCACCTCTGTTTTTTCCAAAGTATGTTTAGCTTGACTAGCCTTTGATCTCAACTAGCTTTGCTTACCTTCCTGGAGGTGGGGGAAAGAAGAGAAAGACTTCACGATCCTGGATGCTCTGCCTCATCTTACCTGCCCACCAGCCTCCCCATCCTTTTTCAGGGGGCTCTTGCTGCTGTGCGGGCAAGATCCACAGTCAGATCTCTTCCTCCACACTCCTAGCTCAGACTGTAGGCACAGAGGAGGAAATCTGCTGCATCCCATAGTACCCCTGGTGCTATCTAGGAGCAGCCACTCTGCCCAAGAAACATGTTGTGCTTTTATAAGAGACAGGAAAATTTATACAATGCATGGATCAGGCAATAATTGCATCAAGTCCTGCTATTAATGCTACACTGCTTTGGGCCTCTCATTACAGGAGGGATATAGCCAGGTTGCAGTCAGTGCAGTGTAGGGCCACAGGGAAGGTGGCCGGATTGCAGGGGATGCCGTATGAGGCGAGACTGAGGGAACTGGGTCCCTTCAGCCTAGAGAAGAGGAGACTCAGAGGGGATCTGTTGGCGACATACAGGTATGTGAGGGGACATCACATGGAGGTGGGTAGAGCCTGTTCTCCCCTGCAGAGTTGGGCAGGATGCGCTCCAATGGAGCAAAGCTCAGGGAGCCAAGGTTCCATTTGGATGCCAGGAAGTCCTTCCTGACAGTTCGGACCCTGAGGGTATGGAATGGGCTTCCACGGGAGGTGGTTAAAGCCCCATTGGTGAGGGTGTTCAAGGACAGGCTGGACATGCACATGATGGGCATGTTGTGATCGGAACTGGCTGGAGCTGAGGGTCAGACTAGATGGCCCGGGAGACCCCTTCTGACTCGCTCTGTTTCTATGTTTCTATTACAGATATTATTTATCATTCTACTTTTTGTACTTGTTCAACTATCTGAATCTCTTCTCCCCAGTTAAGACAGTAAACAGCTTTAATGAGAAGTAGGTCTGTAAATCATGTTTTATTTGTAATCTGCTTTGGAAGGTTTTTGTTGAAAAGCAGTATATATTCTAAACAGACAAAAGAGTCCTAAGTTAGACATTTTATTTCAGAGCAAAGGCACAACCCTCTTCTGTAGTTCAGAAAGTAGTTCAAGTTGTACAAAGAGGCTGGGCAAGGTTTCCCTCTGGCCACAGACCCTCCTGAAGTGCAACTCCAGAGGTCTGTGGGCAGGACTTTTCAGAGAAATCAAGTAATTGTTGCTGGAAGGCGGGTTAAAAGGTTAAAACTGGCATGTGGAAATCAAATACTTTCATATGCTCCATTGAGATCTTGGCCAATATTCATATCAATACAGAAAGAGCTAATGTACTCAGAAAAATGAACATATATGTGTTATTGACAGTGGTCACTAGACTGAACCTGAAGAGAGAAGCACAAAAGAAAGAATATCTGAATTCTAGGTCATTTTGGGGGTGGGTGGAAGTGAGCAATTCAAAACAGAAGGCATGAGAAAAAGCAATACCATGAATGCAGTGAGCAACGGCAAGGTTAGTTACAAGGGATACAACTTTCCATACAAAGCACATGCTAACAGTATTAATATTGGTAACGGACATGCATCAACACCAAAAAGAAAGCACACAGAAGTAAAAACAAACAAAAGATGAATATATGCTGCACAACAAAGAATATTCACAAAGCAATACAAAAATGAAGCCTATGTCACACAAAATCTCGCAAATCAATCTACCACAGGAAAAGATATTCCATAGCAAATTTATGAGCTCAGCTGTTATAAATTCAACAGAGCAGAAAATTAACACAAAGTATTTTCATCATCGCTTTACCTAAACAGATACTGCACTACAACCTCCTGCAGCAAGACAGAATTTCTATCTAAAATAACGTCAATAAAGTAATTTCAGAGGCAATGCTAGAGACTCCAGATCTTGTCTGGGTAGGGTGAGGGGGAGCATAGGATAGCTTGGAATCCCAGCTGTGACTTCAGAAAAGGCTCTGCAGTCAGGACTCTCTCTCCACCCTCACAACCAGGGTGATTCTTTTCAAGCCAGCTAGACTCCAGAGATGGAAGATCACCTCTGCAGCTGGTGTGGGGGCATTGCAGGAGGTGGGGAACGCTGGAGTGGAGGCAGTGCCGCAGCCCCTCCTCCTTACAAGGAGGGAAGAAGCATTTTAATGGCCAACATCAGCCATCTAAATGGGCAAGGAGATCACAGAGGCAATCCGAGCCTCCACACTGTACTCCTATCACAATAACAGTTCCTAGGGAGAAAGCTCTACAGAACATTTAAGATACCTATTGCCCAAAACCAAATGAACTCCACTCAGGAAAAACAAAATGAAAGTAATCTAAACATGTGGTCGTTTTTGCAAGCTATTTCATGACATCTCTATACATGCCTGGCAATTGAAGAAACCACACTTCTTTTACACTGGAGCAAACATCAGGATGGTGAGCTTGGATGTGAACCTTCTTACTAAACTGGTAAACTGTATGAATTAGGTTGGCAATTGGGGCGACCCTTGAAGACGGTCCGGATACTTGAATTGGTTCAAAATAGAGCTGCCAGGCTGCTGACGGTGACTGGGCATTATGTTCACATGACTCCAGTCCTCCGTCAGCTTCACTGGCTTCCCATTGAAGTCCAGGCCCAATTCAAGGTGTTGGTGATGACCTACAAAGCCCTAAACGGCTTGGGTCCTGGTTACCTGAAGGAGTGCTTACATCCATATACGCCCGCCCGCCCCTTGAGATCTGCGGGAGAGGCCCTTCTCCGGGAACCCTCCGTGAAAGAAATTAGGAGGGTGGGTACTCGGAGGAGGGCTTTCTCTGCGGTGTCACCCAATCTATGGAATGCGCTCCCCAGAGAGGTCTGCCTGGCGCCGTCGTTATTTGTTTTTCGGCGCCAGGCGAAGACCTTTTTATTTAAACGTCATTTTAATTGTAAATATTATTTGCTTATTTTATCTGGCCAGGGCGACTTATTTTATATTGTTAATTTGTATGTATACTTGAATGTTTTATATTTTAATTTTATGTTGTGAGCCATTCCGAGGCTTCGGCGAATGGGGCGGCATAGAAATGTTTTAAATAATAAAATAATAATAATAATAGGTGTAACTTTCATACAGCAGAAGCTGATACAGAAAGTTTTGAATAAGTCACCACTCCAAATGGTAGGTTGGGCAGTTGGGCCATCTGACAAGAGGTTTTCTAAAGTGTAAAAAGAGTTAAGAATGCAACTGTACAGTAGCCAACAGGGCTTCAAATAGGTGGGTGATGTGATGAATAGCCACTGGCCATCAGTAGTGCAGAAAAGGAATTGCCCTCTTCTACAATTTTAAAAATGCATGGCGTTATATAGAATCATAGAGTTGGAAGGGGCCATAAAGGTCATCCGGTCCAACCCCTTGCTGTTGCAGGACACCTATTTACACCATCCCATTCAGATGGCTGTCCAGTTTCTATACAAATCTTTCTAGTGTGGGAGAGCCCACCACCTCTCTGGGCAGCTGGTCCCACTGTCGTATTGCTCTGACAATGAAGGAAACTTTTCCTGATATCTAGCCTAAACCTGGGTTGTCACTTGATTTTCCATGTCCTACACTCTGGTATCAGCAAGAAGAGATTTTGACCCTCCTCTTTGTGACAGCTTTTGAGGTACTTATAGAGGGATATCATGTCCCCCCTCAGTCTTCTCTTCTCAAGACTAAACATGGCCAGTGCTCTCAGTCTTTCCTCATAGGGCAGTGTTTCCAAACCCTGGATCATTTTGGCTTCCCTCCTCTGGACCCTTTCTAATATGCAAGAGTCCATTTAAGAGTTTACTTTTGTATTTTTCCAACAACAGTCCTTAATTCCTCACCCCCACGCCCCCAAACTTGCACATACTCTGCTCTTGAAAGGAATTCTAGCAATATTTTGTCTTTAAATATTGGTACCTATTTTTCATAAGCCTTAGCTCTCTTTTACGTGTCGCTTCTTCTGCTAGCTGCTGTGGGCTATGCAACGTTCCTGGAGAAGCTGCCATGACTACCCCTTGAGGTAAGGCTGTGGTTGGAGTTCGGATCTGGTAAGTTGGCATGTCACCAGTAGCAGCTGTAATTTAAAAAGAAAAAGAAAGCAGGGATAGATTTAATTTATAATAAGGTAACAATCAAACCCCAAAACTGTCCAGTTCATGATGCAGTCGTGCTAACAACTGTTGGTCAAAATGCCCTCCAGATGCCAGGAAGAGAATAATTCACAAGAACATCTAGCCATCCAAGTATATTCTTTCAATCCAGTACAAAACGGAGTCCCCCAATCATTTATGGTGGAAAACCATAGCTAGAGGCATATCCATTGGGACGCTTCTTTTAAAGCACACAAAATCAGACTTAAACAACAGAAAAAGGCAATGAGATAAACCTGCAAAATTTAAGCATTTCAATTAAGCCATGAACAGAGCATATATCAGTATACAAGTTTATTTTCAAAAAAAGCAGTGTCTCTATTTTCAGCACAACACATCTTTGAAGACATGTTCTCTCTTCTCTCAGAAAGGATAATATCTGCCACCTAAAGTTTTTGTAAGTAGTTTTATGAACAATGAGTTACATTATGCTGCTGATTATTAGGAATACTGTTTTAACAATTCAAAAATGTGATCAATCTAATCAGTTAGTCAACTCAGCATTTCAGCCCTATTAAAATCCTGGCAGAAAGGCATTAGTGGCATAGGAAGATGATGTCTCTCGTTGCAACCGGCTGCATGGAATTCCTGCCCAAGGCTGTGACATCATTCAGCTGTACACAGTGTTTGGCAGGTTAAATCATGCAATTACAGAGTTGGAGGGAGCCTTGAATACTAGCGAGTCTACCCTCTGCTCCATGAAGGAAATCTAGACCTAGAATATTTACAACAGATAGTAAGGGAGAGCCTACCACCTCAGTAGGTAATTGGTTACAAACAGCAGCTACTCCCAACAACATTTAAGTGAAATCTACCTTCCTACAGCTTAAACCATTAAATCTAGTCTTGTCCTCCAGAACAGCATCAAACAATTCTTTGTCCTCTTCTATATGACAGCCTTCTGGTATTTTAGGAATGTTCATATGTCCCAGACCTCTCTGCTCCAGGCTAAGCATAACCAGTCTGTCCAACTTTTCTGCTTGTTTTCCATAACACATATAATTTTCATTACCCTGCACTGGGTTCCTTCTCATTTGTCTATACATACTTAAACTATAACACACACATTCTGTCATCCTCACCATTCCACAGAGACAAAAACATTTCCCCCTGCATCCCACTTTACTTTTAGATCTTGGTACCATGTACATACAATGTAGCCAGGATTATATACACATCAGTTGTTGTGTACTAATTTTATATTTTCTATTGAATACCAGCATTTCCCGAGACTAATCCAGAGTCAAACATGACTTGTCTACTTTATGGCCTGGCCAAGCATCGTACTTCTAGGAACCATCAGACAGATGCTTCTGGGCAACCCAAAAAGCAGCATCAAAGTTACAGCCCACAGTTTGCCCATCACTGTCAAAGCAAAAGGTCCACTGTTAGCTCATTCAAATGTTGCTTTAAGTTTGAGATAGATTTTGTGAGTCCAGCAAAGTGTCAAGCAAGCTACTCAGCAAAAGCAGAAAAATAAATAAATAAAATCTGTGCTGTCCTTCTTCAACTTACCTGGGTCGCTGTCAGTGACAGTTCCTTCAAGTGCCCAAAGGGCACTTTGGAGGGACCACCACTGGCTAATTGTTCCTAGCTCCAATTGCAAGCCAAAAATTTGCACTTTTTTTAAAAAATCTGTTTTTTGGTAAGTGCAAGTTACTCACCTTTGGGAGACTAGAATGAAAAGGCTTGCCTTCTCAGTGTCATGATAGGCGCCTGCAGTGGGTAACAGTCATGGACTTTGACTGAGAAAGCCTACAAATAGGTTAATTTGTTACTTTCCTTCCCCTTGACAGTTGTCCAACAGGGAGCTGTCAAAAGAAACCAAAGCTGTGAGAGCTCTTTGCTCATGAAAGATACGGTCAGCCTCTTTCTGGCAAGCTCCTCTTGATTCCTGGCTAGACCTAACTGCTTTCTGTGTCTCCCACCCTTCCTGTCCTCGCCAGAGACTCTAGGACCTAGAGTCTAGGTGCTCAGGAAGGTGGAAATGTGCTAGCAATTCCAGTTATGCAAACACAGAATTTGAACAGCCATCAAAACAAAGGCTGCCTTTCAAAATTGAGGTTTTGACAAGGCTAGTGATGTTTCATCGCTGCTTTTGCAACCAACTCCCCTGAGATGTCAAGCCAAATCAAGTGTCAGGAGTACCACAGGTTGCATCATGAAAAGCCTGCGCTGTATACCTTATTTGCAGGTTGGGTTGTCATGTTGTATGAATGCAACTACTGAGCCAGATTACTGGTTCATCTAGCCCACCACGGACTGGCAGCAACTCTCCAAAGCAGCAAGAACAGGCTTCTAAGCCCCTACCCAAGTCACCTTCCACAGTGTGGCATCCTCAGTCTTCTTCTGCGGGTACCAACATTCCCCACCACTGTTTATAAATGTTTATATATATGCATACATGCATACATACATACAAAGTAAAACATCATTATTAGTATGGGAAGTGAGACATGAATCAAACCATACGCCTCTAGCCGCCCACCATTTGTATGTTCTCAAACCAAACATTTCTGGGCATTCTGCATTCCTGGGGCTTTTGTATACAAGGCATTCACTGTGCATTCATGGTCCCTCACAGATGCATTAGGGGCTTTTCTTTAGGTTGTAATCCTCCAAGGTCTATCCTGAGTTTCCCAGCCATTTTTGCAGTTTTTTTCTAAGAGCAAGGAAAACCTTGCATTTTCATAGATGGTGCCTTTAATTGCCATAAAAGCCTAGCGCATTTTTGCAGCTTCACTCTATGCCACATTGGCACCTTGTGCTGTCTAACAGGATGTATAGGAATATATAGAAAGGCAAGGTTATGTGAAGGGATGATTTAATGCTCTGCAAAGAAATCAGAAGAAGCTGCCTGAGCATAGCGCCAGGTTACATGGTGGGCAGCTCAAGCCACACAGTGGCTCACCTTGACACATGCTCAGCTTCAAAGATGTTTTTAAAAGAAAAGACCCTATCACCACCATTGCCTGGTATGGTTGGGCAGTTGGGAAGAGCAAAAGAGATTTAACAGTGGAAGAAAGGATGATATTGGGTAATGAAACCTCTTCAAGGGGGATCTTCCTTGTGTGCAGTTTCTTGGTCAAGTCACTTATTCTTCAGCTACATCCGTTTGCCTTCTGTAAAATGGGTGTTTGAGGACTGGCTACGCCCATCACACCTGGCATTTTTGCAAATGCAATGCTCCCCATGGTGACATTTTCTGACAGCCCATACTTCAACATTTCTCATGTGCCCTACGGCACAAAGGGGCTGGATACCTCAACTATATATAGCTGGTGGCCTGCCTTCACCTTGGTGGGTCATATGCTCTACAGGCCAGCTCTGGGAATTCCTGTCAGTCAATAACTCCAGAGAACTCTGGAACGTTTGAAGATAAGGTAGAGTATTCACTCTTCACATGGAAGAAAGCTGTGGTTGTGGAGTCCCATATGGAACTACAATGGTTTGTTTATCTGGACAGGTGGATGGTCTCTTTGCCTGTCATGTCCAAAGATCACAAAAAGTGTGATGAGTTGCCAGCTTGGCAGAGCAGCTTGGGCTAAGCCTCACTGCTGCTGAACTTAGTTAATATCTAAATTTAAATAAATACCCAAAGGAATGTTTTCCTTCTTCCTTTAACCATACAAACACCAACAGCAGCCAGATAAACCCCTCCAGCCTGTACTGATAGTTGCCAGTGCTGAATCAGTTCCAAACAAAACACTGGTAATATTATTTTTATACAGCATGACATAATGCTACGACATCAGAAAGATTTGCAATATAATTAATATTGGCAACAACTCTATGAATCATTGTTTTTTTAATTAAAGAGAAGGTGCTCAGCCTGTTGCCCCCAATTAAATTTCTAAGTATTAAATTTCACTCTGCTTTTGATGTTCCTAATACATCACCAACATGGCCCATGCTACGGCAGAACACAGGCAAACTACTATATCAAATTAAAGGCAGTGGGTGAGCAAACTAGGTTCATGGAGAAAGCACTTGTGGATTTTCCTCCTCTTCAGAGGAATGAACAAGTATAATCAGACTTCAGTGTAATTGTTTTACACAGACACTGTTATGGTTCTAAAGAGTTATATTCTTCCTCTACCCCATAATATGTACAAAGTTCCTATACAGCTCAACATTAAAAACAAAACATTACCAATAATGTTTAACATAATTATATGGAAAAATACTTCATAACAGCAAAGGAAAAAAGGTAAAGGGGGAAATAAACAGCTGGAGTTCCTGAAATGCTTACCTTGTCCAGCCTTGGCTGAGATTCAGTTTGAGGTATCACAAACAAGTGGAGGAACAGTCATTGTGGTTCCTGTAGCTCTTACAGTAAACTGAAACGTATTTTCACTTAGCATGATCCAATCTAATTAAGCCTGTATAATACTGCCTGCATGCTATCTCAAGTTTGTAATGAACTTGAGATCTACTGGATTTTCCATCATGCTTTTCCAACTTTCTCCCCCTACTCCTGGCAATTACTTTTCTATTGCATTGCATAACATCCGGCTTTTCAGATGCATTCTGAAGCGCCCTACCTTCTGACATTTTAATTGACCCTAATAAAGGTACTGCCCCACTGTGGCTTTCGGATGCTTTTCTTAACGGGCCAACATGGCTATGTGCAACATGTATGCTGTGGTTTTTGTAATGCTGAAGAAATTGAGTCAGAGAAAAGGCAACTAAATTCAGGTTTCCTGCTCTGTCTAAATCATATTTCATAAATAATGGCAGGGGTATCAGCCAGGTCATCAGACTGCTGGTTTTTAAAAAGCTGCTAGAAAGCAGAATCATAACAACTGTAGAACAGGCAAAAGAGCTGTGTTCCCCATCCTCTGCCCCACCTTCCAAAGCATGTGCTGTACCATGAGGGTTATAAACTTTACTCAAGTCTCCTATACATCTCCTAGTTCTATGCTCACATTATCCCAGGATCTTTTAAGTATAGCTAAGGTAGACAGAGACTAGGTTTACTTAAATTGAGAGACCGAGAAACGGTGTAAAAAGTGCCAGTAGCTCTAGATGAAGCAGAAAGGAACTGACTAAATCACAGCATGACTTGCTGCTGACGTCAATGTGTGTGTTGTTTGTGGAGTTTAAGTTTTCCAGCTCTGCTACTGAAACACGGTTCCAGGAAATCTAACGACGTCAGCTTTTTGAACTTGATTAAGCTGTGGAGCAGACCATTTTCAAGCACAGGAGGCATAAAATAATAAATCATAAGCCAAAAGATTATTTGAACATCCACAAGTCTATCAGTTTTGTTTCTGCTCTTTATATCTGTCTGAAATGAATGTTACAGGACTGATTGCATAGCTAAACAGAAAGCATATACTGGAACTATACTCGGCTGTTAGAAGCAAAAGAAGTGCTCTTTCATGAACTTCCAAGCTATTTTTAAAAAGCAAAGGAGATAGGGTACTTGGTTTCATTGCTAAAGAAATGGGATATTTCAGTGCTCAAGTTAGCAAGGAAAAGCAGAAGCAGATAACTTTTAAGTACATAATCAGTCCAGCATAAAATGCTGCATCAGCTCAGGACATATTAAAGCAGTGTGCAGCACAGTATAAAAAATAAAGAAGTACTAAGCGAGTAAGTGCTGAAAGACGGCAATTGGTTGTTGCTGGATATTTTAGCAAAGCAATGAGGCTGTGCTCTTGTTTACAACTAGGCTGCTTAAATTGCACCGAAGTAAATGGGATTTAGGGAGCCTAGCTGTAAACAGGACTACAGCCTGAATTTCCTCTTTTGCAAAGAAGCTTACAAAATTGCCTACCGGTTTCATCTCTTGTTACAGCCATGACCAGTGCCTGCTGAAAGACTTCTCCTCTGCCACCAGCTGAACATGAACTGTTCCAAACAAGTAAGCATGTGCAGGAATACAAGCTTCAGCACTGACATCATAATGACCTCACTAGCCTACCCCGTCATTAATGTGCTTTCTCACTGGAACAGCTTGTTGAAACAGGAGCCCAGGAAAAACCTTTACTAACAAACAATTGCTTCAGCTTTTATATACTCCAGGTTTTGCTCTCCCTGCAGTACAAAAACATACAAACCCCAGGGAGACACCTATAAATCAAGCTCCGCAGACGCATTTGTACAGGGGGAGGGGGGAAGCTATTCCAATGCCAACACTTTACAAAACAAATGCTCTGAAAAAGTATACTTTAGACAGTAATGCAATCCGGCTTCAATAGGCATTCAAGGCAGGTGAGTAAGGGCAGAACAGTTTTGAATCATGTTAACCCTGTGCCATTTTAGCCTGTTTTAAGAAAATGAGAAGGATCAGTCCAAATGTCTGTCATCTCCCCCACAGTGGCCATCCAGGTGCTCATGGAAAACCCACAAGCAGGACAGTGAGGGAAAGAGCACTCTTCTGGTCGCTCCTCAATGGCACGCTGCAACAGAACTATTATGAGTAGCAGCCTATGTTTGTCAATCCTCCTTTAAACCTAGGTTACAAAGAATATATTGAAGGATGCGATTCTATGCACATTAACCTTGGAATAACTCCCACTGGATTCCATGAGACTTACTTCTGAGTAGACTTCCATAACAATGTATTTTAGTTAAACTTTACACTCCGCATCAGGAGAACTTTTCTGTTAGTTACCATTCAACATGCTGCTATTGGAAAGAAGCTTACTACCATGTAATAAAAACTACATGGCTCCATCCAATCTTTTCATTTGTAGCATCAGAGCATTTACTCTGTGTGTATCCCCCCAGCCCATCCATTCACTCTCATCTCCCACCAATATTTTGTCAGTGGGGTGGATTGTTGTTGTTCTTAGTTGCGAAGTCGTGTCCGACCCGTTACAACCCCATGGACAACACATGGACAAAACCATGGACAACACCATGGGATAGATTACTTATGTCAAAAACCTGCTTGCTTCTCAACCCCATAGACGTGTCGCCATTCTCTCCCTCCATCTGCTGAGCCCCTCCATGGATAGACAACTGTAACCAATTCCGTATTTAAAATATTGTAGTTCCCTTATGGCCTTCACAGGATTCTTTGCTCCCAACCATCAGTAAAGGGAGCTCATTCCAGAACATTAGAGTTATAAAACCATACACACAGACACCCCTATATAACCCCAATCAACCAGTCAAATATTTTTTTGCAGCCACAATTCCCTGAAACTTCCCATGTGTTCATGGCAGGCACTTAATTGCAGGCTTAGGGCTATGGGTGGCTGTTCTGTCATTGCTGGAGCGCTTCACACATGATAAGTGACAATTCCAGCGTGGGACAGTGCTTAGACTGTTGCACACGGACTTGGCTGATCCAGGCTCTAGTCCCCGCTTTTGCATGAAACTCACTAGCCAATCACTAACTCTCAGCCTAATCTACCTCACTAAGTTGTTGTGCGAATAACCAGCTGTCCTTGGATCCTTGCAAGTGTAAAAGATGAAGGGTATGGATATAATAATAAATAATCATAAATTCCATTTTAAGGTATTGAAGATCTAACTGCAGTTTATTTCATTTTCTCCAAATTGTTTACAAACATTTCCTAGGCAGTACAGAACCATACAAGTGGAAAGACTGCTTGATTGAAAGCAGTGTAGCTTATGGTCAAGGAAGTATGTGGCAGCCACTAATTTTCTTCTCAGGGCCAAACTGCACATGACATGGCCACTCAAACTGGTAGCCAAGCACCTGGGTTTGCTTCCTCTCATTTTGTAGAGTCACATCATTTCTGCAATTTCCTCTCTCAGACAACCAATTATGTCAAGTGTTAGGTGAGGAAATACAGGATGTAAAATACAACGGTGGTTAAATTCTACTAGCTTATTAAGCAACACACTTTGTCCAATATGTTGTTATAGAATGGACACTACAGCAGACACTTGTTTACTATTATCTCAAATTGGCTTAGGATAGGGACTAAGCAGCAAGCTACCGAAATAGTTTAATTTACTCTTCAGTGAAGAAGGAGCACAAAAGGAAGCATTCTGTTGCTGAAGTTAATGTGAGAGATGTCCCTGTTTCATTATGTAAAGTTCCACCAAGCTGCAACATTAGCGACTAGTCAAATCTTCTCTTTCAATCTCCCTTCAATCCACTGAACGGGGTAGGAATACTCAGATTCCTTGCATAAAAGACATTATTTTTTTGAACAACAGCAGTTGATTTTCATTGAGTTGGCTCCCATTTAACCAATCCTTCTGGATACGGTACTAGTAACTTGGAGTACAAACCTATGCAAATAGGAATCTTAAGCAGAGGAAAGTACCACTGAATTAATTGGGGCGTATTTCTACATAAACTAGCATATTCTACAGAATAAATTACCGGTTCCTAGCACAGAGTTATTAAAACATTTATGTCTCTAATAATTACTTTATGACCAATAATTGCAGAAGTACATGTCTTTTTGTATTCAAGTTATTTCTGTGCCTAAAAGTACATTTGCACTATGTTTTCTGCATTTAAGTTCATTTTGCACTTAGCTGATCAATAATTCCAGAATATTGAAGCTATTATGAGTGGCAAAAGATGTATTATATCAGGGACCCATTCAGAGATGAGGACTCCCCCTCAGCAGCCCACTGTGACAATTTTGCTAAGCAATTTGCTGATGAATTTGCTTGCATCTGCTAATAATTACTAACGGTATAGCACTGGCATGTTTCTCCAGTTTCACTAGACAGGTTTCAATTTGTACAGCCTGAAGATGTGGACAAAACACTTCAAAGTGTGAGATCAACCACTCGGACGATTGACCCTTGCCCTTCTTGGCAGATTAAAGCAGCAAAGGGCGACTTAATCAAGTGGGTGAGGAGAGTAGTGACTGCCTTCTTAGAGGGAATTATAATTTAATCAATCCTCTAGGTGGCTACACTAAGACCTCTTTTCACAGAAGAAGTTCTCTCTGGACCCTGCCATATTAGATAATTTCCAGCTACTCACAAATTGGCCATTTCTAGGCAAGGTAGATGGATGGCATCTCAGCTCCAGGGATTCTCAGATGAAATGGTTAAACCCATTTCAATCTGGTTTCAGATTTGCTTTTGAGACAGAGACGGTACAACAGGAATGAGTTGGGGAGAATTTTCTTGTTGGTTCTGTCGGACCTCTCTCAGTGGTGTTCAACATCAGCCATGCTGTCCTTGTAGATCACTTGGTGCTGATGGGTCTGGGAAGCACATTCTGCCATAGTTTTGGCCTGCCTTGATGCTGGTTACAGAAGATGATGTTTGGAAACTTCTG